TTATAGTGTATTGTTCATTAATAATTTTATAAAACTATAGATGACATTGGCCGTCGACAGTGGTGCGCTACTAATTGTTGCGTCCATCGACTAAGCTTTTTGCCGATCATACAATTTTTTTTTAATATAAAATTGATAGAATTTAGGCATGCATTTTAATCATATGATCTACGGCGAATTTAGCCGTAGCCGAAACTTCCTTGTTGGATAGTTTTAATTTAAAAAAATTTATTTAGACAAGTTTCTCAATATTGTACACTGCACAACCATGTTTGACGAACGGCACGCGTAGTTCGTTTTTAAACTTAATAAATCACTTCAATATTTACGACGGTTCGCAATATTCCCCTGAAATCGTTTTTATTAGTCACTGCAGTACTGCGACCCACAGAGAAGTTGTATACGCGGTTGTATCTATATATTCCAGGGAAATAATAATAATATGGTTATAAATCTTGTTATAAACTATCGAACGTACTTGAGTATATGAGACATTGCGGTGTATATTGTCTTCCAAGTTCTATTGACTATAATTTAGTTTATATAACGTCATACTGTTAAATAGTAGGTAAACAAAAGCATTTGTGTGTGACAATTCTGTATTATACCTACATACTGTTGATATTCGAACTTAATAGTTCTGCATCTAAAGACAGTCGCTTTACATACTAAACTTTGTTAAACATTGTTCCTTGTACATATTAGATGTGTCTAGACCGAGCGATTTTACTATAGGAAACAGAGAATGAGAGTTCTCGAAGTAAATTAGGTTATTCGATTAAGCTTCCAAATAATGTTGTGCGGATAAAATGCAAATCTAATAATTTCGGTCTTCATTATAGTTTATATCTACAGAGATTCTAAATGTACTGAACGAGAATTAACGGTTCGCGGGAAAAACACGGGAAGGTTGCTTTGTAATATTACATTTAGAACATAGGTGTGTAAAAGCCAAAAAATTATTTTGCATTCGTTATTTTAACGAGTAACGAGACATTATTAGCGTGTAATACAAAACGTGACAAACACACGACTGAAGAGTGCCTATCGATCTGATAATCAATAAGTCATGTATACGTAAGTAAGTAATGTAAGTCATACAAACGACATCTCAAAAATCTCTCTAGTTGAAAAAATCACGCATTTCGTTGTACTAATTTAAGGCATTACAAATATCAGTTAAACGTCTGGGAAAATGGTAAATATTTAGAAATTCACGCTCAAACGCCACAAAAAACCTACTATATTCGGTAGACGATAGTGAACCTTCAGTGAGTTATAATATCACCATCTCACGCCGTTATACCATACATATATTCATTCTCTTTCACCCTCGTTCTTCGCGAATCAAATTTGTCAAGGTAACCTCCTCAAGGCTTGAACGCTTGAGGCAGCCTCAAGGTCGTCTCCCATCGATATTTTCTAAATACCAATTTTATAAATCGATTAAAATTCACATTATTATAATTCCCAAAATCAACTACTAGTATGACAAAGTATGACTTATAATTATAATTATTAGGGCCGGGATTTCGATGGACTTTGCATTTTTCTCTAAATGTTGCTGCGCAATGCTCGTTTGGTTACAAATATAAACCGTGTGATTTTGAATGTTAATAAGAAAGTTGTTTTGTATTTTTGACAAATTTTGGTTTTTAGATTATTTTTTTTATTTCTTAGAACATTTTTAGCGTTTTTGGGTACAACATATGAATTTGAAATTTTATTTTAAGATTTTTACACACAGACAGGATTTGTATACAAATTTAAGAAATTATAAAGTAGGTACTCGTGATTCCTTTTATAATATCGGCGGACAATAGTTGGAATGTCAAAACATAGATAAAGTGTGGTAGCGTATAACGCAGTATATTTAGAACCACTAAATCTTAATCAATAAAATCGACATCCGATGATATCGTTTAGTACCAGGTTTGTTGTTATAACCGCCACGTGTATTTATTTAATTTGAACAATGCCAAAAGTATTTTAAAATAAATTTAAAGCCATTTTTGAATTTTTGAATTTTTTAGGGCATTCAAATTCTAGCCCTACTTATAATGAATCTCCTGTTATATTTTCAAGCATTTCAGTGTGGTCTAACAATTGTATTGACGATTCACGAATAACTAGCGAATATAAATTAAATAAAAAACTCGCAAAATTCTAAAAAAAGCTCAAAAATAGCCTTATTGTTTTGAAAATTTTACTACGTCTAAATATCTCAAATATAAGTTTACTGTCCAAAATCTAATCAAAGTCTAATCAATTTTTAACTGAAATACAACAAAAAAATATTGGGACGGGTGCAGCCAATTTGGTTCCCGTTTAAATTTGCAATGTTATCCAATACTGGTCGAATTGGTTAAGACTATCCACTTAAAAGCAAAGTAGATATGGTTAAAAATGTGCGTATAATGAAGTCATTACCGGTCATTTCTTAAATAGTAATAATAATGATGATTAAAATTAAAATACAATTTGTAAACTATTTTAAATATTGATACGGAAACCAAAAAGTCATCATTTATATAAAAATAAACTTATATAAAATAACAATTATAAAAAAGTCGGACATACTTCACATGCAGGTGGGTCACTGTTGTAGGTGAGAAGTTGGGAAGGTAGGTAGTTGAGAGGAAATTTAATGTATATCTGTACGTAATAATTGATCTTTGCTAAGGAAAAACAATTCTGAGCGAAATTTGGTTTTGTGTGTTTTGAAGGGCCATACTATTTATGATTTTCGTCAAAATTTAGTATTTAAATTTTTATAAAAAAAAACGTACTAGGTATATAATACATCTCAGCTTTTTTTTTCACCACTAAGTACAACTTTTAATGAACCACCTTGTTAAATTTTCAAGAATTTTTGTTCGGTCAAACAATTGAATCTACATATTACTTAACAAATAACAACTAGAAAATGTAATATGCTTATACATATCTCAAAGATATTTTCAGGATATTTTGAACATTTTACTGAGTCTGGAAAAAGCAAATATAAGTTTTTGTCGAAATTTTAAATCTTTATACAAATATTTTTAACTGAATTACAACGAAAAAACAAAATTGAAAATAATGAAACCAATATTTTTGTAAACTTCCCCGTTCTTATTACGTTTTTTCCCGTTTTTGCTCATTTTTTAAAAAAAAAACTACACGGAAAATCAGAAAATGACTTTCTAACTCATTAACTAGATCAAAAACGCAACAAAATAGGCCTCTTGTCGTTTTTCGACTGGAACAAGATTAATGATCGAAAAGTTGTTCACAGATAAAAAAAACACATTCGCTACACTTATTAGAATCCAAAAGACTGGACTCTGCAGATCAGTGAATATTCGTATGTAACTAAAATAAATAGCCGTTGAATTTGTTGTCCGGGTGCCGAGGTTTCGAGGATTGGGCACGAATTTATTTACGACGAAAATCACGCGCAATCAGTGGCCACGGTATGCGGCGACGGTATTTCGCGGTCTGATATAAAAATAGAGTGGGACGGAGAAAGAAAATGGCAAAAAAAAAATAAATAGAATACACTTAATGATAAACCACGCGTAGGACGATACGAAAAACATTACGCGCGAGTCACCGCCGCCGCGTGGTCTCGCGAAATCTTTACGGACGGATGAAAAAAAAAAAAAAATGTTAAACAAATAACAATCCGACCGCATTACTTGTACAGTAACGCGACGGTTTTACGTTGGATAAATTTTGTTTAAAAAAAAATAATATACATATAAATATATTTACAGTCCAACTAACGGACACACTAGCAGGTTTGAGTAGAACTCGTTAATTTCGGTTTAAAGTAAAAGCACCTATTACGAAATTAAAAGAGGACGATATTCCGGAGGGCACGGAGATGAGCTCTTTGCCATCATTTTAAATATAACGCTCCACAATCTTTTGGAAATAACGACCAGTTCAACATTTGCAAACAGCTGTAACTTGGCTTTGTAACTTTTCAACTAATTAATTAAAAAAAAACTCCTCTTTTAGTTTTTAATTCTCAATTCTTAAGCTATACCATAGGCGTGCGCATTGGGCTTTCCGGGTATACCTGGGCATTATCCGAATATTTTATGTAAACATTTTTTTTTGCTATTATGTCGACATACGACAACAGTAAGTACACGTTTTATATTTTGTAAAATTGCTTTTCACTTCTTTTTCCTTAAGAGGACGTCACACCGATATGTAAACCGACAGTAAACTGTCTCCGCGAGCCATGCCAAATTTGCGTTCAGTAGAACACATTGTGTCCCGTTAGTTTTAATATTAAAGCAAATAAATTTATTACTAAACTTAAAGATAAGAAGTTTATATATGCGCCCTAGCGTTGACATTTTTTCGATATTTTTATTCATACATGAGACATGACTATGTTAAGTATCGTAATATAAAAATGATTATACTTTGCTTAAAAATTAAAATATCGAAAAAACATCAACGCCAAGGCATATATAACCTCCTTACCTTTAAGTTTGGTAATAAATTAATTTGTTTTAATATTAAAAACTAAGACACAAAACGTGTCCTACCGAACTCATATTTGCTATGTCTCGCGTTTGTAAGACGGAGACAGTAGATGTCGGCGTGGCGTCCTCTTAATTTAAAATTCACTTTATACATTTTGATTACATTACAAATTTCGTTCTCATCTTCTATGACTGTGTCAACGGAATATATTCGCTTGATTGTAATTATCCAAGTTATTTAGTAATAGACTATAATTATCGATTGCATATTACAAAGAAACTTTTACTTTTAATTTTTTGGAGTGTACGAGTATGCTATTTAATTAGGTAATTTATATAATTATGAAAACTAATTTAAAGACAGTGTATAGAATTAATTATTATTTTATATTATCTAAGTATTGAAAGGTAATAAAAGTTGATTCGGGGGGATTCGCCTAATAAATTAATTTTTCTCGGGTACGACCTGAACTTAAAGTCTGCGCACGCCTATGAGCTATACTTCATTTAGATATATTATCCGTGGCATGTCAGTGAATCGGGTGCTGAACTAGTGATCCCTGTACCAGCTGTAGTGTACCCCAGTCCCATTCGTCCTGAGTGCTTGACGGCCTCGATGACTTCTTTGAGAAGACTATATAACAAGTCATTGGAAACACTCCTTGATACCATTGTGAAGCTCATTCACAAGGCCAAAAGCACGAACACATCGCATAGTCGCCGTTGCTTCTGTAAAAGCAAAGAAGCCATGGTGATTTCCTAAGACATTATGAATTGAACTATATGTCTTATTATTTCATTATAATTTAAACAAAATCGGCCACTCAGCAAAACATCAAAGAATTTAAAGGATGTTGTGCCACGAACGATATTTTTCACTTTTCATGGCTGTAATTTTTCACGGTTATTATTAAGTTCGACAACGGTGCCGCGAAAAACAGTACGAAAACGAAATTAAACAAATTTTCGGAAATTTTTACTTTCTCAATGGACCCGTTTTCACTACTTTATCTTCATTTTCTTCATTAAAAATTATTACTATCGTTTCGAGGATTAATATTTTCCAAAAACATCGCTATTTCGGCCACTTTAATGAATTACCCAACAGTAGATGAAACACGATTGGAAAAAATGGATATTTGTCCAACATTGCGATTATACGTACAAACAGAACAAAAAAGTGATTGCAGTGGTAAAATTTGTCACTTATAAAAAAAATATTTCACCATATACAGTTCTCTCAGAATTTTTTTTTCGATATCATAATAAAATACCGATAAATTTGTATACTTTTTTTGAAAATCGATGGATAATAAAAATAATTGACCAAAAGTCATTGTACTTATTCATTTTGTGTGTTGTTTGAAAAATATTTGTGAAAGGTTATAACTATGCACTTTAAATTACTGAAAAATGTCTAGGTAAGTAACCAATTTAAATCATTTTAACATGTTTTAGAATGGAATTTGATTTTGCATAAAATTTTAGCACGTCTTGTGAATTATAAAATTAACTATTATGAGGCCCGGCGTTCCTAAAGTATTTTACTTTTATAATATTATATTTTCCTTTTATAAATTTACGTTATTATAATATTACTTTGTGTGCTTTTAAGTATACCCAATGTCTACTGTATTTTAGTGTACCAAAGGGCTCGTCCCGTTAGTTCATAATAAATAAATAGATTTTTTTTTTTTTAAATATTTTGCCATAAATAACAATCTTATATAAAAATGATTTACTTAGTGTATATATTGAAATGTTATCCGCTAAAATTTTGACTTTTAAAAGTAAAAATATTAATAAATTACAATTTAAAATGTACACGGTTTTCTCCTATCGCTCCTGAATTGATTATTATTTATACCAAACATGCTTACGCCCGCCAAATTTTTATATATTTTAAAAAATAAAATAATAATTATTTGATAATATTTTTATTTCAGTTGAAAAAATAAATAACGGAAGGATGCCGGAAAATCTCATAATCCGATAGCTGCTGCGTTTGTTAATGGAAATCAACATAAAATCGAGGCCAGTGGAATTACGGACCGGTCACGGTACCCATACCGACACGCGGCTGATATGTGTGAATATTATTATAGACCATCGGACATTATATACTAGTACTAGGAGATTCCGAGGAAATCTGAACGGCTAACTGAATTAAAAGGTAGCCGCGGACCGAAAAAACTCATAGGTATTTATTTGTCGAAAATTAGAACAAACTGTACAGTTTAATCATAATACATTTTGAAATTTATGACTCGTTGTCGCAATTTAAACTCATATTTTTTTCTTTAAGATTGATTTTTCGATTTTGATTTAACGACGTTTAATGTGTTCGCGTTGGAAGCCGTGCGATAAATAATAATCGCATCAAACAATAATAAATATTAATAAATAAACAAATGATACACAACAAAATGAGACTGATATGCGAATCGTTAACGAGCGTATTAACATTATCATTTTAGCGTTTAGTGCTCGTAATAACGTTATGTTCCTGCAGTATTATAATATCACAATGCATGATGATGATGTACAGCAACCGTTGTCTCGCCAAGTTAATCTCGACAGTCTGGATAAATCGGATACACTAGTCGGCTTACCGTGTTTTTATTACAGGATTTTTTTTTTTTTTTTAAATTTATTCATTTCAAGGACTCTCGACAATATAAACGACAACGATAAAATCGTTAATAAAACTATATTATAATATTATACGACATCGTCTTTGCAACAAAATCGATTTTAGTTTTTCGACGAACGTAATTTTATAAGTTATTTTTTTTTTTTACGACAAATTCGTATCTCGATTAATGTCGCGTGAAATACATTATTTCGGCGATTGTATAGTACCTGAGTTAAGACATTTTTAACATCCGGGATCTGTGTTACGTGATTGTTTTTTTTTTCGGTAATATACAATACATAGGTATATATAGGCTGCGTTGAGACACGGATAATTAAAATGTATCTAGATAGAGATAAGAGATAATTGCTCAAAAACCATCTAGATCAGAGTCGCACTGGGGGGAATTAATGGAGCAGATCCCTTGAGTATACTATAATATAAAATAAACATAATATTGAATTATACTAATGAATAAAGTGACCATTAACTAATAAGGGGATAATTCCCAAACGATGATTACAAAAAAAAAAAAATGTGTATATGCACTGCCCTAAAAAATACTAAATTTGATAGTGGATTAATTTCAATAAAACCTCCCTCCCCCATGAATAATTCCTGCTTCTGGATCCGTTCCTGATCTAGATTCAGATAAATATAACAAAATATATTTAAATTGTCTCAGATAAAATAATAGGCAAGTAGAATAATTTATCTAGGTAATAATAGAAGATATATGTAAACGATTAAAACAGTTAATCCCCCCCCCCAATCCCCAGCAACTAAGGATGTTTTTCAATAAAATTAAAAAATAAAATAATAAAGATAAATAATAAAAATAATAATTTTTCTAGTGGTTTTCATAATGTCTGGGAAAAACCAGGATAAAACGTAAAAAAAAAAAAACGGGAAATTTATGTAATTTAGTTAAAAATATTTGTAGAGACTTGAAATTTGGACAGAAAAATTATATTTGTCTTTTCTAGATGTTGTAAAATTTTCAAAGTATTTAAACTATTTTTGAGCTATTTATAGACATTTTAATTTTGCGAGTTTTTTACATAATTTTTATTCGGTAGGTACTCAGTGATAAAATTGTTTGACTTAATAGGAATGTTTGAAAATTTAACAGGAGGTTCATTAAGTCATACTTTGTGGTAAACAAAAAAAAAAAAATGAGTATAATGTAGTATTTGTTTTTATAGAGGAATTTCGATATTAAATTTTGACGAAAATTGCTTCAGTAAAAAATTGTGTGGAATAAATCTAATTTTTCAATTTTTTTTTAGAATATATGTGTGTTATCAATTTAAAAAGGATGGTGAATTCAGAATTAAGAAGACTGACTTAGTCTTGAAATTATAGCTCTTTGAAGTTTAGATATTATACAGATATTACATGTTTATGTTAAATAACTATATTGTCCATATTATTATACGTTTTTTGTAGTCGAATGATCATGAGTACTTATTGTCATACTTGGGATCCCGGGTTCATTTTTGCACTTTTTTTTTCCCTTTTACCCGAATAGGGAAAAAACAAATGCATTTTAAATGTACCTAGAGACCTATATAGCTATAGCTATAGAGCTATAGCTCGCTCGGACGATTTTATTCGAAAAATACCGTTCAATTTGTTGTGCAAACTTTTCCACCAGCAATTTTGTTCCAACTTTTAATCATAGCAAGGTTTCTGAAACGAAATTTCATTAGCGAGATACTATAAAGAGGTCATTTTTCGATTTTCCCAAGACTTTGACCGGGATAAACATGGGGAGACCTGGAAAAACGTAGGTTAACTGGGAAAATCGGTAAAACATTAAACATATATTGTCAAAGAAAATATATAAACCCTTTTTAATTATTTCACTATAAAATTTCATATATATTGTTGACAAAGCCGTGACTATCAACTGAACTCCAATATCAGAATCGTGTTATATGTATGCAATGGTTTATTGTTGCTTACGTCATTTTTAAATTTTAGAAATTGAGAACTGAAATACGAAAACGATTTTCAGATTTTCAGAACTCTTATCGCTTTGCTAAATTAATCGGACTGTTGACGGACAAAAAATTGATCTAAACAATTGCTACGCCGCGTATTGAATGTTAGACATAAGTAAAATAATGGAATCACCGTTCCGTTTCGACGAACCCCTTAATTTGTTCAGTGCATATTTTAATTATACTCGTATAGCGCGTATTTTATTTGTTATTATTATTTTTTTTTTTTTATATATATATAGAGCGATAAAACCCCGGCTCCCATATAATATTATAGAGTGAGTACAGCCGTAGTATATAAGTATACAATTCGCGGTTTTCTAAATTGTATTTCGCGATTATCCGAACAGCCTGCAGTTATACAACAATGATGGGGGAAAGAAAAAAAAAAAACTTTGAATCGACTTTAATGCCGTCCCGCAAAAGTATTTTCCGAGTATAATATAGAATATAACGCATAGTTGTAAAACCTTCATATACGTATAAATATATGTGTTCATGTACGTGTATATGTTTGAGGTTTTCGATCAGCTTAGGTTATCCAAACCGGCGAGCCGGGTCGGTGGCGGGGTGGTTAGCTCGGGATTATTAACGGTCTCGTATACGATATAACCTAACTTTATAAAGGAAGGTATATACATTGTATTATTATAGTTGTTGTTTTTGTTGTTGTTGTTGTTGTTGTTGTTGCCGTTATATTGGATACGCGTATTATATTATAACACGCGCAGACTGCGGACACGATAACGTTATAATAACCTATAGTATGTATCTGGAACGCATATAATTCACTGTGGCAGATGTTCAATTGGATTGGGAAATAAACGGGCAATTTCAAAATATTCTGCTGATCGTCGACCTGCACATGCCAATAATATTATTGTCCCTTGGTCATAGGTGAAAATACCCGCCCGAATATTCTCGGGCGGAATAATGCTCCCTTGTTAATACTTATCGATAAATACGTCATGATGATATTGATATGACTTTTAGAAGCTTGGCTATAATTGCATGAGGAGGAGGGGGGGGGG